TGGTGATGAAACGTTTGCGATCTAAACGCCAAGCTCAGCGAACACAAGACCCCATAAACCATCAACCTGAGCTACAAACCACACCCATATTCAAATCTGTTGAAAACAGTACTGATATGTTTGCCAGTAGTTAGTCTCTAAATGATATTATTTTGTCGACGTGTCTTATCAAATCCTGATGTGTTTGCCTACCACCCCCGTTCCGCGCGTTATTTCAGCTATGTTTGCAACACCGAGTAACGTCATGCTTTCCATCGTGGGATTTTCTATACCCTATTTATTGTGGCGGCATTTCGCTGAAACCCTGATCGATTCTGCAATAAAGTTGATTATGAAGCGATTAGAACTTGCCTTAGACAAACTGGACGACAAAATTGATCGACATACAAATGAGGCGGCTCGATATGTAATTCAATCAATCACATTTATCGACGTCCTTTCGACCACCACTCAACTATCCGGTCCTGTCGCTCAAACGAAAACGCGCATTACCACGCAAATTACCTTTGTAACGCGAATGGCTCGTTCCAAAATGCGTATCGGTATCCCCTGGCTCCGATTCGTGGTAAAAGCATTGTATTTGATAAATGTAATTATGCAGTGGATATACACAAATCAAATGATAAATTATGATTACAAACGGCGAGTGTTTAGAAAATGCCAATTGCAAGTCAGCCTCTATGGTACACAGGAGCTGTCATGCACTCTGCTTGGAGATGTTTTTCTTTATCACGGTTACTATACATTTAATAGTTGGTTATGGTATGTGATGCTCTTTACGATCGCCGTTTTCTTCCTCTGGATTGGTTATACTATTTGGTTGTCCTGTCGTCGCATGCGTTGGATCAAACAACGATTAATTCGAGCGCATTCGTGCATTCCGACGGAGGAGCATCACAGTGACCAGGCTCATCCATCTTGTGCCGAGTGCGGTCTTGTTGTGGGTGATCATACTTTTATCGTTGAAGCACGTGATTTCGTCCGACTGATCTCGCAAACGGATGCAGTGGTCCTTTTGGAACTTATCGATCATCGTGTCGGATCCCTGGTGACGGATCAAATTCTGCTCAAATCATGGCATATCTATATAGGGCGTCGCGGATTTGCCAAACCAGTTGCGTCCAAGCCGGGACAGCCACATGAAATTCAAAGTATGCTTATGGGCGACGAGTCGGCTGAATAGGTGTTGGTGTTCCACTTGCATCCCGTGTGTGTTTCCGTTGCTGCCTCTTTGCTGATTGGATTCTAAATACTCGCATGGCACAATGTGCCTGTCTCTCTTTGTATTCATAATGAGTTGAGTATAAACTGCATACCTTAATTATTTTTACTTTCTCGGTAACTTGGTTCCGTGTTTTTCCTCACATACACCAACCTGTTCGTCCAGACACGCACACACAGAGTTAGTTAGCTAGTTATTTAGTTAGCTAAAGTTATTGGGTTTTTCCATTAATACTTCCGTTCATTGAATACACAAAGATACAATATTCAGGAAGCGGGGAAGCGGCCAATCAAAGGGCTGCCATTCAACACACACAATGGGAAAAGTTAGGCGGCCGTGGTGGTTGTTCGAGAGTAGGTTCAACCGAGGTGCTCAGGTTCACGACCGGACAGGTCTTTTGACCATCGCACAAATATTTGCTACACTTCTCGTCTCGACGCTCAGCAGTTGTCGAGGCAACTTGCTGTCCAGATGAAGTTTTAAACTGCCAACCAACAGACGGAAATAAGCTTTTCGGTATATGATTTCAGGAGAAATATGTTCGATCTTTGTGCTGACTTGTAGGGGCATCATACTGTAGTGATGAAGTGACTCACTTAGCCATATTCATTTTTGTTGTTGTTAGCACATACAATGCGATTTAACAACAACGTACTTGGTCCACCCAAATGGTCAGGCGATCCGCTGCATTCAAGAAATATGCGCCCGACGACCGACTAGTGTTAAGTCAGGTGACGGTAACGATGATATATTACTCATTTATCCGGGTCCACACTGCGCCTGGAACGTATTGTTGAAGTAGATATTTGATCATGGTCGCGATAACACGAGGTTATCGAGACAGAGAATCTTGACCGCATCTTTCGGCTAACGAAGGTCCGACCCGCGAACGCAGCGGAGTGGTGTGTGAAAACCACTGTCCATTGGGGTACGGTCGCGTGACACAAGCAGCATATCCACTACGACCTATTAGAACGGTGTCTGTCACGATTTGGAAGCCAGTTTGTCACTCTCTCGTCTTGGGAGGTTTGTAATCAAAGTTTCCCCACCTTCGTAGATCATTCAGTTATCTGAAGCTCATCAGCTCGGGTCAACCCACAAACATTGGTTTACATTTTTCAGTCCTACGGTTGGAGTGCGCAAATGGATGCGTTTGGTGGATTCTCACAACGAACTAAAACGTACCTAGAGGTACTGTGTTCAAAATTGTAACTATAGGAAATGGGCATCTACCGTCGGACCGTTCTTCGTTAATTAATTGTGGGAATTATGATGATTTATTCCAAGTGAGATGGTTTTTGTATTTGGGCCAATTTATCGATACCGTTGTTCATAATAAATAACTCTCATTGACCCGGAACAAGGACCCGGTGCCCACTTAACATAATGGACAACCTAATCCCTGGGAAGGGAAATCATCGGCGGTGTGGTACTGAACCGTACGATAGCTAAGGCTTCTATCACAAAAGTTGAATTTCGGCTGCAGAGTTCAAACCTGGAATCCTAGGGGATGGGGCTCGCCCGATTAACCACACATCCGTCCTATCTCTAAAATTTGATGTTCGGTGTGCATTCTTTAGGTGACTAAGTGAAAAGAACTGATAGATTGTATAATTTCTATGTCCAAAATGAATCTGTGCTGCGTGTCAGATTGTAGTGCTACATCTTTGTATATGCACACTGACTCTAAGCCCGGTTATTAACTGTGCTGGGTTACAGTGGGGATGTTTGCACACGCTCCGAATGTGGCCAATTTCCCCACACGCATGATGTCGCTTTGCCGAATCGACGCGTGGAGTGCTGGTGATAAGCTCCACACGATAGGTATGTGTTGGTTGGTTCCTCTGTGCTAGAAGTGTCCTGTTGTGACCTAGATGCATATTGGCCACTGGAGCTCAGAATGGTTTCTTTCTCTGTGCCGTTGGAATAAAGTGACCGCTTTGCTGGAAGTTGCTTGCGTTAGATCACGTTGTTCACAGACCTTGCGTGCCTCGGTGCATGTTAGATCCTTCTTTTCCAGCCTTTTCCGTTGCAATGTAAAGTTGTTTATACCTGCNTGTAAAGTTGTTTATACCTGCCACTAGACGGCCATAGAGTTGTTTTTCCCGACGATTATCATACCATACCATACCATAATTGCAACGCGATGCCTGCTTGTTCAGTTGAAGGATGAAGTCGCGAAAAGTGATGTTTTCGGCACGAACCAATAGATTGAACTTAGCCTTTTCGTGTGCCTGGAATTCAGTGGGCAGCAGGCGATCAAGAAGCAGCTGCTTCCAGCAATCGTATGGAACCTCAGGGAATGTCCAAAGTACGATCGACGGCATTGTAAATCGTGTGACCATCACCATGCACACGCACGCACACGCGAGAAGGAGATGGCATGTATAAGGAAATCCCATTTGGCGTAAGTACTCATAGTATATTGGCAAACAGCAGTTTGTTGCAGACAATCTTGCTTGTGTTTAAGAGCAACATGTACAAAAATTTCGTTTTTTGTGCACCCGTGTGCGTTTCTTCTACGAGAGCCGGTTAAACTTGTCACAGAGACAGTAACGTCCATCACTAGGCTGCAGTGTACGAGTGTGTCAAAGCATCGTTGTTTTGACTCGGCTCGAAATCACGATCGATTTGGAAATTTTGGGTCTGGGTTGTAGTTATTCCCCAAGTTCAGTTCAGTTCGAGAGAGGGGACCTTGATTAGAAACCCTTGAAGAAAGTTACCCCGATTGGCTCCAGAACATGCGGATAGCGCAGTGTTTTAACGACGATTCATGGCACTCGCCAGACACCGGTCAGTTAGCGAAATTGTTCCTAGCGGATTGCCATGGAAAAGCTCTAATTGATATGTGATCAGAGTGAATATTGTGTTAGATACATCAATTTCATAGTGATGAACTTAACGATCAGTAATACAGTGCATTTGGTTTGGATGAGCGCATCAGGTCTAAGTTTTCGGGAAACATGTGGAGGATTACAAAAGTGTAAATACGCAAAATTAAGAGGAAGAACACTCGGTCGTCTCAAATGTGAAAATATACACAGGGTTTTCTTCAAGCGGTGCCTCTACTTGGGAGATGGTTGAAAATTCAGGCTTTTATACATTACTTTTCAACTCTCCGGAATCATTGAAGAAGGCGGGAGGTGGACAGTCCTGCCTGCATTTGCCAACTCTTTGGCGACCGATCTCCGTCCCACACACTTCAGACCTCTCATTGTGTCGTTCGCGATCACTTACACATACTGACACAGTAGCACAGAAACGGTGTGAGATACACCGCGTGTCCAAAACACAGCACAGTGGTAATGGCACTCACTATTGATAATGGATGAGAAACAGAATGGGCACACAGTCCACTTGCACGATGTCGCACGGAGCGCGAAATCACACACTCGGAAATACAACTCAGGTCCGAACAATGCGGAACGCGTACCTAAACGGCCACACAAAATCGTCTAGCCCCACAAGTACGACCACAGCGCAGATTGCACGCCACAAGCACACTACTAGCCCCTTCCCAGCTACGTAGACAAAAGAAAACAGTCGATGAACAACACCCAGAGCAAGTGGATTTACAGTGTCGGATCGTCTGCTTCTGTTCTGTTGCGGTCTCCACTCCCACCCTGTGTGAGCCAGCGTGGATTGTGTTCTTTGATCCGTTAAGATAACTGTCTTGTCGTTCGATCTAAATAAGTCGCATCGCAAGTGCACTCGAATTGGTAAACAATCATAGATGAGGTCAACACAGGCAGTTTATCTGTTGTAGCATCGGATGTTCGGTGACGTAGGGAATACACATCTTAGCTGAGCGGCATTGAATGTAGATTTCACTGCTGAGGATAAAACTCTACTGACTCTCAGTGGCGACACCGCCTTTGAACGAAAGTTTTTTAAAAATCATTTTCTCCGCTTTTGGCAGCTTTGTTGGCTTATTCTGTTCAGTCCAGTTACGGTCGATAAACTTCTCAGGATAGCCATTTTCCAACAAGGTTCTCCTCACTGGTTCAAGTTCATCCCTTAAAGTATCTTCTGAACAGACGCGCCTTGTTCTCTGCAGGAGACAGCGTGTGAGGTTACCTTTTTGGTAGAGTGGGACGAAGCTACGAAAATTTATGAACTGTCCATGTTGCTTTTCGATACATTTTTTCCTTGGATAGAGCCATCGGGGCGTCTAGTTAGGTGAACGTCCAAAAACGGGGGGCAATCTGTTGTGTTTAGACCAGTGTGTGTTCTTTTATTAGATATCAATACGCAAATATATATAGAGCAAATCGTGCATACGAGAACTGCGCAGTGACTCGCGTCCTTGACATATCGATTGATCGATTGGACAAACATTGGCTGACACCTTCTGTAATCATCCAATCTGGTTCAGCCTGTCTGGAGCGTTGCGAGCGCACGTGTGGCCTGACTCGGAGGCGTGCGCGATCGGACGGGTTGCTTAAGCTCCGTTCTAACATAATCATTCTCCTCTGATTCATTTGTGAACTTAATTGACGAATGTGCTTTATTGAATTCCGACTCGAAATGGTCAAGATCGGTATTCTTGTTAGCCCCGCAAAACATATCATCTACACAACGGTGATATTGTTCAATACAACTATTCACCGCGGATCAGGAAGTTGTCTCTAACATGGCCATAAAGTTGTCGGCGAGAACCCGCCTGAGGGTTGAACTCATAGCAACACCATCGACTTGGTGGCAGAAAGTGTTATCAAACAAAAATGGTACATTTGGTATGAGTTCTTTGAGAGTTGTGACTGGGACCGTGCGCGCCCTTCGATTGGCTGCGCTACATTTGCACGCTCTCCGTCACATTGTGGGAATTTTCAACTTTTCATTCACTATCGTGCGCCGTCGGTACTCACGGGATGATAGTATTTGTTTCAAACGTGCCAGGACATGCTTTGACGGTTCAGCGGTTTGTGCTACTCCATTTTCTCACTGTCCAGGCTGGACAA